TTTGTATTTTACCAAGAATCTGTAAATACATGGCAAAAGCACCAGACCATATTGTGACACCATTTTCGACTATCGCCTGAAGACACACCAAGAACCAATGTCTTAAAGAACAGACAACTTAAGATGTTAAAACTCACTTAACAAAAACAACGTGTCACAATCCATATAGCGGGTCGGGAGATAGACGCAGTCCTATGTATCCAGCAACCAGATATAAAGTATTGTTATCCTTTTTTGATACCTTGAACTTTTGAGTTATCGTTTTATTTTCTTTTATGCATATTTGTGTGATACCACCCTCGTTTGAACTCAATTTGCATTAAGGCCCCAACGACTGATTGATTTCGTCTGCCTAAGATCAATTCACAACGTGGGTAGGCGACTAGAGATCAACGCAGTTACTTTGGTAACCAGACGTTGGAAGCGAGTTGGGAACGACGAGGCTGATATCGAATCTAACCAGATTCCCATCCGAATCACCAAAAGGTTAGAACGTCACATTTGGGTGCCACGACCAATACCAAGCCAGTTGATCGTCACAGGACGGGACAACACGACTGACGCAGACAGGTGGACGTCACGTTTGGAGCGGCGACACCTGAACGAAGCAGCGAGGAGAGAGAGAAGGCTGTGTTGAGGGACGTCACAATATGTAGCTGCAATATTCAGGGCATGGACGAATGGTAGACTTATAAATGTGTAAGCTAGATTCTGTCAAGTTAACCAGTTTTCCGAGCAGCAGACCTAGCAACTGATTCTATGAAATTAATCCATTAAAAAATGTTTAAATATTTTTCATCAATTATTCTTCAATTTTATTTTTTCATTATTTCACGCCAAGCAAGGCATCAATGCCACTAAAGATGCGAGTGGTTACTGAAAGTGAAAAGTGAATCAGAAGTCCGAAGAGAATGGATAAAAAAGAACAAGTTTCATTAAGACAGAAAATAGCGATTGGTGTTGCATTTAAATTTTTCAAGATTGCAAGTGTCAGGAATGCAAGAAACCGGAAAAGAATTCAGTGGTTGAGAAGTGCGAGAATAGAAATTAATAGATGCGAAATTATGGTTATACCAGCGAGTTCAGCAAATAATAATAAAAAGATGGGACCTAGTTGCCAATCCAGTAGCACGTTTAAATTCATGCAGTCAAGATGCCAAGGCGGAAAGGTCATCGGAACAACTGACATGAAAATATGTATAGAAAAGACCGAGAGAAACCGCATTACGGCGGTGGGAAAATTAATAAAGTTGAGATGCCAGGTCTGGACCGATTGCACTGCAGATCCTTCTATGGATTTTTATCGAGAATCTCGTGATATATATCAGGCGCACCACACCAGATATGAAAACAACATTCAGTGGGAATATTCAAGTGTGGATCGTAGATTTATAAATGTGTAAGTTATTGACGAGAAATAATTGTCTAGTACGACACAGTGAACCAACTTTCCTAGCAGTAGAACTAGCAATTGATTCGGTCTAGTCACGGCAGTAGAAAACGTGAGCCGAAGAAGACAAAAACAGTGACTCTCTTGTTAGCATTAGCCATTATGATGATAGGCAGAAACTGTTCTCTGTAGTGATTAAACGAAAGAGGTGTTTTGTTGCCCCCAATTAACCACTGATTGAAGGCTATTTTCGAAAGCAGTTCCCAGTCTTACATTGTCTAACGTATCGAACTTACTACTAACTACTTACTAGTAAATAACCGCGACAAAAACACACTACTTATATTATTAGGACTATCGTCCTCATATTTTTTTGCCATATTTATCACAAAGTTTCGGCCGTTGTTTCCTCCGGCCTTTTTCAGGTGGTTGGAATGTCGAACTGAACCATTTATTTCACTCGCTGTGGTAGACTGCTCTAGTTCCACGTGCCATGTATAATGAATGTCAGTTTTCAGTTATCTCTTGTTAATTCCCCTCTCCAATTTCTCCACCGCCTTAACCAGGTATTGAACTCACACTCTTTGGGTCCTGTCACTTGATCTAACTAACGCCTTTGTGCCATATGTCCTTGAACAGTCTACCCCAGCGAGCGAAATAAAGGGATTGATTGGAAAATTTTCCGATAGACTCGTTGAAGGGATTCCTGATAGTCCATGCTATAATGAAATACAAAAGTACAACTCGCTCATTACGAATTTATTTATTTACGTAAAATGTGTGGGATCTTAGTATTACGTTTTTTTTTCCATTTTTTTTCTTCTTTTTTCTTTTTACAACAAATGATCAGTGGAAAATGTCATAAAGCAATTTCTGGCCTTAGGTTTCTGCTTGGAACCCGGAAGGAAAAGGCTAAAGAACATAAATCCAAGGAAGTAATAATAATAATAATGATAATAATAATAATAATAATAATAATAATAATAATCGAAACATTGTTATTGTTTAGATGTTTACAAGAAATAAGCCATGTTATAATAACCTTTTGAACACTCTATAATAATAATAATAATAATAATAATAATAATACTGTAGTTGTGACCCTCGGAGCAATTGGAAAATTTTCCGATAGACTCATTGAAGGGATTCCTGATAGTCCATGCTATAATGAAATACAAAGTACAACTCGCTCATTACGAATTTATTTATTTACGTAAAATGTGTGGGATTTTAGCATTACGTTTTTTTCCATTTTTTTAAATTTTTTTACAAAATGGAAAATGTCATCAAGCAATTTCTGGCCTTAGGTCTCTGGTTGGGACCCGGAGTGAAAATTTGTAGGGAACATAAATCCAAGGACACAATAATAATAATAATAATAATGATAATAATGATAATAATGATGATAATAATAATATAATGATGATAATAATAATAATGATAGTATTAATAATAATGATGATAATAATACTGCTACTACCACTACTACAACTACTACTACTAGTAATAATAATAATGTTACAATTACAATCAAGACACCAGTGAAATTAATAATGAAAAATTTCTTTGAGAAGAGCAATTAAATATATCATTTTCCTAAGTTTAATTGGTTAACTAGTTTTTTCCTAATATCTCTTTAATCAAAAATGTATATTAATGTAAAAGATTTAATTCAAGAACCTGGAAACTATTGCTTCACATCTTTGCTGCTTAGTGAAGGGCCGATTAAAAAAGAACATGTATCCACGTCTTATCTGCGGGTGTAGTGTAGCGATTGTCTGCGTGGAGAGTTGACATTTCTAGGGAACATAATGAGGAAAGAGTACTTGGAAAATCTGATACTCACAGGACAGATCGAAGGTAAAGAGAGACACGGGAAAGTAGAGCATAACCTCCCTAGTGAGCTCGAGTAAATGGATGGCAGATCAAGATTTAGGATATATAATAAAAAGACAAAATTTATTAAAACCTATGCAGTGGTCCCCAACCACCAGATCGCAGATGGTTACCGGCCCGTGGATCATTTGCTACCGGGCTGCAAGGAAAGGGCTGTAAAGCAAGGATGCATCTTCTCACCCGACCTGTTCAACCAATACAGAGAGAATTGGAAACCTTGCCATGATTTAGCATTGGCGTCCACAATCTTAACAAAATAAGATACGCAGATGATACAGTACTGATAGCAGACAAGGAAAAGAAATTACAAAATCTCGTACAGAAGGTAGCGACGGAGAGTGAGAAGAAAGGACTAAACATAAACTACAAGATGGCAGAATGCATGGTCATCTGTAAAAGGAAGAATCCTGAGAGCCATAGGTGTATTGGGATGGCCCCGGACGCATTCCAAAAGCTGGGCAGAGTATTGAGAGTAGTAAAGAAAAGAATACTGAACTGTTACGTGACATCTGTCCTTCTTTACGGCAGCGAATGTTGGACGATTTCCTCAAAGATGAACAACAGACTTGAGGCAACAGAGATGTGGTTCTACAGAAGGATGCTAAGGCTATCATGGACCGAGCGTGTGAACAACGATGAGATCTTAAAGAGGCTTATCAGGAAGAGGCAGCTGAAGTTTCTTGGACACATAATGAGGAAGGAGGGCCTGGAGAATTCGATAGTCAAGGGTCGAATAGAGGGAAAGAGAGACAAGCGAAAACAACGCAGACTTAAGCAAGTGGATGACAGAACATGGTCTGGGAGAGGGAAGCAGGAGGAAGGAACTTATTAAGAGCTGCAATGGATAGAGGGAGGTGGAGAGCACATAAAAAGAAAGAAAGAATAGATGCTTTGAATATTGGACTTTATTTTTTCAAAAAAGATTTGTTTAAATGTTCTACTCGATGCTATCTATCATAACGGTAAATACATTTTACAATTAATGTATATTTTTTTTTATATATTTGTAATTATTTTTAACTGATTTTCTAATCCCAACTAATTTTCACATTCTGCATTATAGAGAGTTGATATTGATGTGATAATAGAATAATATGTATTGATTCAGGAAAACTAGGCACACAAGGGTGTGGTCGGGCTGGGACCCAGACATGAGAGTCAAAAGACTATACACTTTTTCCCCCTTTAATAAATTACTCTTTTTTTTATTATTATTGCTCTCTTTATCGAAACGCACTTAAATTACACATATATACCACGACCAGTTCGCATGAAGCCGGTCTGTCGTAATAAAAATGTTGGAGATCATTGCTTTAAAGGACGGGAAATTGTGGAGAGCCATGATAGCCCAAGTCCTAAAAAGACTGCACATAGAAGAAAAAGAAGAAAAGGAATTGTTAAATAAGAACATACGGTAAATTCATATTTCGTTTTGAAAGTGATAACAGGTAAATACAAGTAAGAACAGCGCTTTAAATTATATCAATATCAACTTGAAATTATTTGAAATTGTATAAGTTTAGAAAGAATATGCTTTACCAGGTAGTATGAACATTTATTGAGGGTTGCTTAGAGGGATTAATTTACAATGAATTCACGTAACCAACTGGATCTTACGCTAAAAGTACGAACATTTTTTAAAAAATATATCGGGAGAGATTACTCGATAATAATATGTAAAAATATTTGAAAAAATGGCTTACGGACACATCACATTCAAGCACCGGTTCCACTACAATCCTAGAAATTAAGCAACGTCGAGGCTGGCCAGTACTTAGATGGGTGACCACTTGGAAATACCAAGTGCTGTAAGCTTGGATGTGCAGGTGGTGCAATGGATAATGGCTTGGAATTTTTCATCAGAGAGTTCAGTTCCAATTCATTTTATTTTCGCTAGATAGATAGATAGATAGATAGATAGATAGATAGATAGATAGATATAACAAATTAACATAGATAGATAGATAGATAGGTAGATAGATAGATAGATATAATCAGAATAAATTTACTCGCACGTAAATAACATTGGAAAGGAAATCAATCTACTTCTCTCCCAGTTAGGAGTCAATTAGTAATACTAAAACTATTATTATCTCAACAACAACAACAAAAAAAATCTAAAAATTTAAAATTATTTTCTGGCATTAAATAACTTGCAATGGGTTGATAAACAATCAAAATCGAAACAAACAATCAGTTAATCATAACATTATTATTTCCTTTTCTGTAGAAAGCGTGTTCTTCTTAAAGACTGCTTCTAGTTTATACAAAACAAATGCCAGTTTCTTTTTCACAATTCCCAGTGGATCACCCTTTTTACCCAATCATATATGGTTTTTCCTGTTTTGCATTTTTCCTTTCTTTTTCCTTCTCATTTAATTTTCCTGCGTTCGCAGCAATGGAAAATATGATGAGCAGCTTTACCTTAAAAATAAAAAATAATAAGTCCGAAGAAATCAGAGATTCAAATGTAGATTTATATCAGTAAATCACCAGAAACTTTCTCAGAAGATGCTTTGAGAATTAATGTTCTCACAAAAGTAGAGCCGACCGGAGATTGACCGATGCCCGATAAGCCGTCAATATACGATGTGTTGAGGAATTTAAGAAAAATCGCTTCGGCTTAAATTAGGAAGACATTTAGCTTCCATGGGGCATTAGCAAACATGAACAAGGTTGTCGAAAATCTGTCAGAAATTCAGAGTAACCTTACAGACCGGTATAGCATTTTACACCGAGATCAAGAAGATAGATAGATAGATAGATAGATAGATAGATAGATAGATAGATAGATAGAAATAATCAGAATAAAATATATATTAAGATAAATAGATTAGAAGAAAATATAAAGATATATAGATAGATAGAATAGATTAAAAGAGATAGATAGATAGATAGATAGATAGATAGATAGATAGATAGATAGATAGATAGATCACAGTGAAAGAAATAAATAGGTAGATAGATCAGATTAAACAGACAGAACATATTAAAAGAGATAGATCAAGGATTATTACTGAGATAGATAGAACAGATTAAAAGAGATAGATAGATAGATAGATAGATAGATAGATAGATAGATATAATCAGAATAAAATATATATTAAGATAGATATATCAGAAGAAAATATATATATAGATAGATACAAGAGATTAAAAGAGATAGATAGATAGATAGAAAGAACAAATTAACATAGATAGATAGATAGATAGATAGAAAGAACAAATTAACATAGATAGATAGATAGATAGATAGATAGATAGATATAATCAGAATAAAATATATATTAAGATAGATATATCAGAAGAAAATATATATATAGATAGATACAAGAGATTAAAAGAGATAGATAGATAGATAGAAAGAACAAATTAACATAGATAGATAGATAGATAGATAGATAGATAGATAGATAGATAGATAGATAGATAGATATAATCAGAATAAAATATATATTGAAATAGATAGATAGATCATAACAAAATATAGAGATATATAGAGCAGATTAAAAGAGATAGATATCTATCAGAGATAGATAAAAGATAAAAGATAAGAGAGCTAGCTAGCGAGATAGATAGATAAATAGTTAGATAGATAGAACAAAATAAAAGAGATAGATCGATGGATATTAGTAAACTGAGATAGTACAGATTAAACGAGATAGATAGATAGATAGATAGATAGATAGATAGATAGATAGATAGAAAAACAGATGAAAAGAGATAGATAGATAGATAGATAGATAGATAGATAGATAGATAGATAGATAGATAGAACAAAATAAAAGAGATAGATCGATGGATATTAGTAAACTGAGATAGTACAGATTAAACGAGATAGATAGATAGATGGATAGATAGATAGATAGAAAAACAGATTAAACGAGATAGATAGATAGATAGATAGATAGATAGATAGATAGATAGATAGATAGATAGAAAAAAACAGATTAAAAGAGATAGATAGATAGATATGATTATACTGAGATCCAGTTTGTTCAACTCTGTAGATAAATATGAGTGCCTTTTCAAACGCCTAATAGTGAATAGACATTTCTTTCTACTGCCGTTACCCCTCAGGTAAAGAATGTTTCAATGGCATCACTCAAGCCAATTATCTACCATCACCTTTATCGACCCATAACTTCATCCGATGCCATGACGGAAATGAAAAGGTCATAATCTATAACATTTATTTAACAATCTTTATATATTGTATATTCACGCTTTCCCCGCTCGAGTATCCTGATCATAGTAGTCTTTCTCTCAACATTTCAGCATGTTCTTTTGACAGTCTACCTAAAAAGAATATTATATGAAATAAAATTCATCGGGCTTTTCTTTTATCAGTCAGTCAGTTATATGCGATACACGCTTAGGCGATCATGTATCTTTCGATATATGACTGACGAGGCAGTTTATTCTTCCCCGCAATATGTTGTCATTTCTTTCTGTGGTAGATCATTTGCCATCCAAGGCTAAAGAACCTGGCCTATCCATAGCTGTGGGGAGAACATACATACCTTTCTCACGTAAGTAAATGCAATGGATTCGACTGGAATTCGAACTCGGCTCTCCGATTCCTGAATCCGAACCACTATCCATTACACCACCGTAAACTGATAAATTCTAATCATTTAAAATACTTCGATATCTTGATCAGTTAGGAGATAAGTAAATTGAAAACAGTAAATATTGCCTTCGAGTTACTTTTATCTGGAGACATCTTTAAGTGCCGTGTCCCTCCAGGACGTAAGCGATCGTGGCTCTCCTGTCTTTTGTAGCTCTCAATAAATATTCTTTCTATTATTTCTCCTAAACCCTATTCCACCATCCATTTACTCAAGTATGTTATGCTTCGTTTTTCACTATCCGTCTTGCCTTTAATCTGGACTGGGAGTATCAAATTTCCCAAGCCCTCTTTCTTCATTATGTGCTCTAGAAACCTTACCTGTTTCTTTCCTTTTTGTTTCGCTTTTTCATTGTGTCTAAAACTTCGTTGTTGTTCACATGATCGGCCCATGATATTCCTAGCATCCTTCTGTAGAACCATGTTTTTTTATTGCTTCGGGTGTCTTCATCTTTGAAGCGACTGTCAAGCACTCACTGCCTTACAGGAGGACAAATATCACGTAAGAATTTTGTATTCTTTTCCTTGTTTCTAGCGGAGTTCTTGTATTTCTTCGTACTCTGCTTGACCTTTGGAATGGATCTTTGGATATTCCAATATGCCTTCAGATATCCAACCATTTTTCCAAGACAATGATTAGAAATTTCTTTAAACGAATCAATCTTATAAGTCTTAAAGCGGCTCATTCATCATACCCTAAAGACTGACACTACAGAATTGCAAACGAAAAGAGTTACCAAATAAAAAAAGAGCACATCACTTCAACACTTCTTCCCATGTCACCTGAAAGAGCTTTTCCTGCCTCCCATCTTATATTAAGCTCCATGAGAGTGACACGCTGCGCCTTCTAGGGCTAATATTCTAGGCTTGTATGAAGTGGAAAATTACATTAAATCTATTGATAGGTCTGATGTTAAGAAAATTGGTTCACTGTTTTGAACGAGACAATTTTCTCTCCTGAATCTATCTTACATAGCTATAAATCTACCATTCATCTGTGGCTAGAATATTGCTGCTACAGTCAGCTCCAAATGGTACTCCACACCATACAGGAAGCAAATATCCTCATCTTTATTGCCATATTTACAACGTTTTGGCCTCTATACCTTTGAGATGAGGTATTATGATTACTTGCATTATTTAAATTATTCATTCTGTTATCCTCATCTTCAATGCCATATTCACAACGTTTCAGCCTTTATATCTCTGAGATGAGGTATTATTACTTGCATTATTTAAATTATTCAGACTGTTATCCCCATTTTCATTGCCATATTTACAACGTTTCGGCCTTTATATCTCTGAGATGAGCTATTATGATTACTTGCATTATTTAAATTAATCAGACTGTTAACCTCATCTTCATTGCCATACTTACAACGTTTCGGCCTTTATATCTCTGAGATGAGGTATTATGATTACTTGCACTATTTACATTATTCGAACTGTTATCCTCATCTTCATTGTCATAATCACAACGTTTCGGCCTCTATATCTTTGAGAAGAGGTATTATGATTACTTGTATTATTTACAATATTCGGGCTGTTATCCTCATCTTCATTGCCATATTCACGACGTTTCAGTCATTGTATGCTCCGATCTTCTTCAGGTGATTCGAGTAAATGCTCTGTTTATTTAATTAAACAGTATTTTTTTTTATTTAATTTCATTTACTAGACAGAAAATTCGAAAAATTGTCAGAAACTATGCGTTCTCCAGCAGTATTCGCTTATTCTCCTCGAGTGGTTGCCAACCAAGACTAGAGAGTCCAGTTTGGCCAGCTAGAGAGATGGATTAATACCTTTCTTAATGGTATTCAAGCTTAACAATCCTGACTTGAATTTTCACATCAGTAAACTCTATGCTACACATACCTCCACTCTGTTTACCCTCATATAAAGTCTTGAGGCAGCTAAGCAGATAAGTCCTTTGAACTTTAAAGTTATTGAATATATATAAACACATTGTCTATATCTCTGAGATGAGGTATTATGATTACTTACATTATTTATATTTGTTATCCTCATCTTCATTGCCATATACACAACGTTTCGGCCGATTTTCAGATGATTGGAATTTTGAACCGGACCCTTTATTTCGTTCACCAAAAGATTGTTCTAGTTCCACGTGCCATGTCTCTTCTGGATGTTTCAGTTATTTCCCTTTAACTAAGCTCTCTAGG